AGTCAAGACAAATATTTGCAAACAGGTTCTACAGACTATCCGCAGACGTACCATTGTTTCTAAAACTTTCTAATAACCACATTAGTGCTTTTATGAAAATTAACTGCGCTGCAGCTGCATTTTTCTACTTTAATATCTATCGAAATTTATTATTTTCTAATTAATTTTCATTGAAATTAATGAAGTTTTAAAAAGTGTGATTAATTTTTATTAAACCGCATTGATGGCTGGAATAAAGAATTTTCTCTTTGCATGCCATTTCTCGCATATGCAAAACGCCCCTCCTCCACCCGGCGCCGCCCGCCAACAACAATGGGTGCGATTGTCTTACAGCTCAGCCTCGGTTATGTGGCGATCGCATGTGACGTTAAGCGGTGATCACTGCCAAGCTGGAATCGTTAAGACGCTGCTGCCATAAGCACAAACCACACAATTGTCTGCGGCGATCGGCCACATGCGAATGCCAATGCACTCTAATGAGTGTAATACGAAAAGAAATATGGATGTAGGTGTGTTTGTGCTTGAGCTCATATGCAAATCTGCCGTGGCACAAGGAAATACAAAGCGGCTAGAATTGTAAACGCATTTTGTGGCGTTTTGTGTTGTTTCACATAGATTTTTTTCCTGCGTTTTTGCTGCTTCCTTTCGCGCTGCTTTACCGTTCACCACTGCCTTGCGATCGCCTTAGCACAGTCACATTTCTATCCATCGATCTAACGAGTGGATATCCCGTGTGTTTTGCTGGAACTTTGATTTATCTGGGTTTGTTCTGCTCTTGTTTCTTGTTGCCTTTCATCAACAACAGACATAAAGACCGTGTCGGCGACAGCGGAATTGTCGTTGTTAGACAACTTTTTCCAACACTCACACTAGCAGGCAACAACAGCAACAATCAAACGGTGGCTTTGGCAAATAAATGGTGCGATAAAATTGCAATTGTCTACTTTTTTCGCTCCTATTGTTGTTGCCATCGTTGTTGTTGTTGTCATAGTTGCTGTTATTGTCGTCGTAATGTTGTATTCGTTGTCGTCATCATCATCATTGGCGGCGGCGTCCCCATCATTGTCGCCGTTGTTGTCATCAATATCGCCCAGTTGCATGCTGCTTGCAACTTGCAACACTTAATGGCGATTTTCTCTTTGACAACAAACTGAACTCAATTGTCAGCTGCAAATCCATAATATACACATACATTTAACCATTCACTGTGCCAGCTTTTTGTTGCTGTGTTGTCCGTGAACGCAAAATCTCAAAGGTGAAACGTGTTTGGTTACGGATTTGCCTTGACTCCAGCGGGGTTTGCGTTGCGTTCGACTTTCTGTCAAGAAAAATGAAAACTGTGATAGATGACTTGGTTTAATCCACAAATCAAATGTCATAAATATGGAAAAAATCGATCGATTGTAATACTTTATGGGATTGAGTTAAGAAAATATCAATTTTTTTTAAAAAGGTTATCTTCGTACGATTTTAAGGTTGAGCCAAAAGTATTTATAAAAAAAAAAGTTATCCTAGGTTAGCTTATGTTGGCTGATCCCTCCGCATGTTGGATATTAGCTATCGGCAAAACGCCCTGAACCTAACACAAATTTGCTTAGGTCTATAATTTCAATTTCCGCTATTACACCTAGATGTCTAAAAGTATGAGATCTGAAAGGTTTGTGCCTCGATCTGGCAAAAACAGAACATTCGAAGAGGAAATGTTGAGAGGACTCTAGCTCATAATCTTCATCATCAGTTGGCAACCGGTAAGATGTTCAATGTTACCGCATGAATACTGATCGGGCAGTGCTCACTTAGAACTCCTACAACCATTGAAAGGTGGACTTTGCTGAGAGCGAAGAGTTTACTAGACATCTAACGATTTACCCTGGGCAAGAAGAACCTTGCGCCTGTATATCTGCTGGTAGTTGATCAACGCTTGCTTGCCCCACTGTTCAGTTGTAAATCACTAGAAGCCAAAGCTTCTACCCGTTCCCATTTCACAGTTATTGAGACTGAAATACCTTTCCAAGTAAGTTCAACAGCCTTGCAGTTTTCTGCAATATCGGTATTGCCAGGTACCCAAACCAGTCTAACCATATAGTAACTCGATGCTAGAGATAAATCTACATCCATCTTCACTAGTCTGAAGCGCATAGTCAGCGAGCTCAAGGCTAATATCGCAACCCTGCTATCGTAGTAGATAGTCAACACTGAAGTAGTCTTCGCCCCGGAGCAGTAGATTTTCTGGTACCTTTATGGTAGCCAACTCGACCTGGAAGATGCGGCAGTAGTCAGGAAGTCTAAAACTGGAGCTGATGAAAAGTTTCCGACAGCTAGCTTAACTTTTTACCGATTTTAAATAGAACACACCAGACATTTTACATAATAGCCTTGCTCTCGAACTACTATAATACTTACCCTGTCCTTTAATAGTCCTAAAAATTTTAAAATACTTGTTTACTTACTCAAAACATAAAAAGGGAATTTCAGTGGTTTTGCAAATTTGCCAGATTATATTCCTATTGTATAATTTTTGAATCACAATTGCGATTTTCTCATGTCATGTCGTGAGTGCTTCGGAGCTAATCGAAAGCATTCCCAGCCAAGCAATGCGAAACACTCTCATAACTGAAGTGAGATATTTTTAATTATTATATTATTAACTCCATTAGGCATTACAAATCTGTCTTTTGTATATTTTAAAAGAAAATTTTTCATTATTTTGTAAGCTGATACCGGCACCTGTTTCTCGCTACTATTGTGGGGGCGTCAACGCAGTGCTGACAAATTCAGAAAAATATAAAAAAGCAGATGTTGAAAATACTTTGAAAATACATTCACTTCGCGTTGGCACTCTCTCACATTTTCACGCCGCCTGCCTCGCTAACCAGCCGACTGACTGACTTCACCGGCTGGCATCGTATAGCGCTGGAAATCGTCACGGTGGGCGTTGTTATAATTTCACACCGCATTGAACTTTCGTTTTCTTCACGCCTTCGTACGATTTTCATTTAATTTTTTTTTTCTCTCTCGTGAAAATTAGCGGCGAAACGGTTTTATTATGAAAAGTGCAATTACGCTTAAATGAAAATGATACATTATAATATTGTATATTTTGCAAAAATAATGAGATTTTATGCCTTGACTTGGTTTTAATTACTTATTAAAACAAAAAAAAAACCGTTATCTTCGATCGTTCAGTTTGTATGGCAGCTATAGTGATCCGATTTGAACAATTTCGTCGGAGATTACATTATTACGGTAGATAATGATCCATACCGAATATCGTAAGAGTTGGCAATTTTAAGGAGAGATTTAGAAAAGAAGATTGAGACCACTTAGCTCTCAAGTAGCTTGCGGCCAAAAGATAAAGTTTTAAGCTCAATGGAAATGTAGCGGCAGAATTCTACCGAGTTGACATTCCTTGACCGGATAAAAATCATTGTCCGTTCCGGTTACGTAGACCCCAATGTCATGGGCATAAAAATAATGATAGTATGGTCATTAAAATTATACATCTATTCTGAGATATTTCGTAAGGATCTCTAACACGACCTAAAATAATTATGTTGCAAATATTGTGAGGTTTATTCAAATACGTCACCGAAGAACCATTAAAAAACACAATAGATTATAGTCTAGTCTTAACTATAGCACATATTTGATGCTTTTAACACTTATACATAGGTCTTTCAAAAGACCTTTTATAACGTTTTCAACGAATGGAAAGAATTGGATTGAGTACATCAATCCAGTTTTCATTGATTTATTCTCTTAAAAATTTCGACTAATTACAGTTGTAAGTCACAATTGTTGCTCCAATTCTTTAAGTAAAAAGTGTTGAAGCGCTAACAGAATCAATTTTTTTCTCCCAGCAAATCATATTTAGATCAATTCAGTGTGCATTAAAAATTCAAGTTCAACGCACGCCACGTTTCCCCATACAATTAATGCAATTGCAATACCAAATAAACAATTGGTTTCTTGTTATAAAAGCAAATGCCACTTAAGCAAGAAGCAATAACTAGACATTAACAAAAAAATAAAAAATAAAAAATCACACGAACAAATAAGAAACAGTAGTGAAAGAGCGCGCGAAAGACTTTCGCAATAAAAAAGCGGCTCCGAACAGTTTCAAGTGTTTGTGGAACGCACAGCTGATCGCGCGAACCACGAACGCTTAGAAGAGACAAACGAGCCACCGCACAGCAGAGCGACTGTAAGCGGAGAAGAGCATAAAACCTTTTCCATTTGTATGTGTTTGTTTGGGGAGCAACTTTCTTCAACGCCAAGCTCACGCAACTCATTTGTTTGCTGTTCCCAGCGGCAAAAGTCAAGCCTTCTAATGTGAACGTGTTGCTCTGGAGAGCTTCACACTGCAAATTTCCCAACGCGCACAGCGCGGAGCACAATTTCTGTTGCGCTTATTATTGTTGCACTACACTCCACTCCGCTATTTGTTTTTGCGTTGCGGTCACAACGCGTTCCCGCAGTTGGCGTGATCTGTACTTGAATGAAAAGCTGCGGTGATGATGTGGAAAAAGTGTGAGCGCGCGCATGTGTGTGTTTTTGAGTGTGCGCATTGTTTGCCTGCTTGTGGAGCTCCGTTTCAAGCGTTTCCTTTTTTTTTTTTTCATTGTTAGTTTTGTATAATTTTATTTTAATTTTTATATGTTTTTTCACTTACACGCAAACCGCTCAGCGTTGCTCTTTTGTGACGCTGTGCAGGCAAGGAAGGCATATATTTTCGGCGCTGGAGTATATTTGCTGCATCAGTGTTTTTTTTTTCAACATTCAGTTTCCTATTTTCAAGCATTTTTCTGCCCGCTCACTCGAGACGATCGCGCTCTGTTGTTGTCTCCCCAACTTTTGTTGTTGTGTTGTTTTTTTTTTTTACTATTGTTGTATTCCTTTTACTTTGCGCTGTTGTTGTTGCTGTTTTGTGGCGCTGTTGTTGTGACTGTGTCTGCTCTGTGTTCGTTTGCTCTGGCTCTGGCGTTTGGTGGCACGACGCGGCTTGGCCAGCTGAAAATGTGGCGCTTGTTGCCTACTAGTCGCTGATACTAACGATCAGTTGGCCGCCTGTGTTTGTTTGCCTCAGACTCATTTCGAATTCACACTAGCAGTGCTGTGTACGCGCGCCGGTACTCGATTCTCTGATCTATGGTACTCTAATACCAAACGTGGCCATTTATACTATATATTTGCTATGCCTAGTGTCTCACCGCCTACCGCCTACAAATTGGCCGTATATTTGTTGAAAAATTAAAAATCGGTAAAAACAACAGCAACAGTGAATTTTCGGCGCTGCTTAAACGCTTTGCCTTGCGAACGCTTGAATGCTGGCGAATTTGGTGCTGTGAAAAATGCCGAAAAATTATTTATGAAATTTAAAAATATTTCTTTGCTTATTTCAACGAATTGAGCGTTGTTAAAAATAATCAGCAAGTGTATATGTGAAATATTATAAATATTTATCTGTATTGGAAAAGTGTAAAAATTTAATTTTTTAAGTAAAAAAAAAACAGAAAAAGCGCTTGCGTTACAAAACCGCTGTAAACGGCGTTTTAATTGGATTGCATAGCGTTTTTGTTGTTGCTGCTGTTTATGTTTTTTACTATAATGAACGTTTGAACTATTTTATTTTTTTGTTGGATTTGTTTTTTTTTGTTGTTGTGATTTTTCGCGTATTGCCTATACATTGTTATTCGCTTTGTGATTTTCGCAATTTTCATTATTTTTCTCACTCACAGGCGTAAAATATGCAGGTGCTGGTATTACTTTTTCGATTTGTTGTTGCCTTTTTTCATACTTTTGCTTCTTTTCTCATAGCTTAAAGCACTCGTATCAATGTTCATTCTTATTCTTCCTATTTATCGCCCTTTGCAAACAATTTGCTTTGTTCCGCGTTCAGATTGTTTGTAGCTTGTTTTTTTGCTTTTGTTGTTGTTTTTTTTAACCTTTTTTGTTGTTTCTTTTCTGCAAACCTTTCCAAAGTTTTTTGCTTAAGCCGCCGTGTTGTGATTTTTATATTTTCCAATTGTTACTGTTGTTTTTGTATTTTTTTTGTTATGGTTTTGTACATTTTACAATTATTATGTGTCTTGTATTTTGTTGTTGATTTTCGCAATGACCTCGATTTTCTGATGTGTGTGAGTGTTTTTAGTTTGTTTTGCTACTTGTTGTTGTTGTCATTATACAACAAATGTCGTTTGATGGCTATGCTTTTGACACCGTCACCGTCAGCGTCGCCATGTTTGTTCGATTGCTGTCAAGCGGAAAATATGGAAAAATTTGTGTGTTTTCTAACGACCATTGCGGTTGTTGCCAATAAAGAGAGAGATAAAGGCTTACAGATACTTTATTTTTATCAAAATTTATTATATTTTATAAAATTTGCTTTAAAAAATTACTAAAATAGAAAAACATTATGCAGTGCATATGTTAAAAAATGCGAGGAAAATAATAATTTCTAAATAAATGGCAACCCCATACAAATTCTTAAAATGCAAAAAACTCATATAATAAACATATTTTCAAATCTCCTTGTTACAAAAAATTTAAAAAATATTTTCCCCTCATTTAAGAACCACCATATTAATACATATGTATTTCTCCAAAATCAACGCCCGAAATACTTTGAGGTCTATTGACTTCGTCGACGTTCTACATATGTTTATTTGTATTTGTCATTGACCAAAATTCTCATTAAACGCCAGTACATGTTTCCAAAAGCAGCAAACATGCAACGTACTACAAATACGCGCTTGCAACATTGTGGATTTTCAACTCAACTCGAGTGCCGAATCAGATGTGTGCAGTTTTTTCTTCTTTGAATTAAACTATGTGTATATATGGGTGGAAAAATCGAGAGCTAAAAAAATTGTTTAAGAAAAAAACGTTTTCCAGTTAAAAGCGTGGTTTTGGCATTAAAATTTGAGGTTTCAGCGCTTTTTGCTTTTAATGTCGGTTTCTGAATAGTCTTAACCGTTAAACAAAAATTTGATTACTCAAAAGTAAATAAAAAAAAATTTAATTACAATAATAACATAAACAATTTTTAATAAAAATAAATAAATTAAAAAAATTATTTTATAATATCGTAAAAAAAAAAATTAAAAAAATTATTTAATAATATCGTAAATAAAAATAATAAGTAAAAAAATTAACAAGTAACCTATTAATTATAATACACTAGTAAATATTAAATAATAAAATGCATTCATATTGATAAATTTTTTTTTTTCATTTTCACCAGTATACAATTTTATTAGTTTTAAAAATAAAAATAAAAATTATTAAAAAATTTAATAAATTTTTACTTAGTAAAATTTGTACGTACTAATTAAAAGTCTCCCTTCTTATTAATTTTAAAATTGAAAAAAAAAAAAACTAATAAATAATTTAAATAAAATAAATAAGAAGTAACAGTTTTATAACATAAAAAAATAATTGAATAGAAATTTATAAAAAAATAGCTCAATATCTAATTAATAAACTTAAAAATAATTACTAGCCAATAAAATTTATTTATTTTGATAAAAATAATTGTTATTTTAATTTTTACCAGTCACTATTTTTATTAGTTTTAAAATTAAAAAAAAAATATATAAAAAAATTTAATTAGAAAAATGTACTAAATTAAATATTTAATAGTAAAATTCGATCATACTAAGTAAATATTTTTTCTCTTCACCTAGCCTCTATTTTTATTAACTTACTAAAAAATATTAATTTGAAAAAATAATTAAAATTTGTTAACATTGATTTATTAATTTTTATTTAAAATGTGTTTAACAAAACAAGTATTTATTTAAAAAATAAAAAAATTTTTACTACGCAATTTTGGCTCTTTGGCGCGTTTCCACTTGATTGAGCTGTAAACTACGCAACCGCTAAATAACAAAGGTTAAAGAAATATTGAAACACAGCAGGCGATGGCGATTTGATCATCAAATACACAGAAATACACGAAAACTGATTAAAACACTAAATTTCATAGAGAAAGTGAAGTTGGGAAACAAATAAAGCTTAAAAGCCAAGCTAAAACAAAACCCTCAGTTTACTCAACCTAACGGCGAAATGTAATGAATCGATTTACCTATAACCAAAAGCTTTTATGTACATACATATGTATGTGTGTTTGTTTGTATGTATGCATGAAGGTCATTGCGTCTCAATAAATGATATATGGCTTTTAATATTTTACTTATCATTTTTTGCTACAAACTTTTTTTTTTGCAATATTATTTTCCTAATGTTTTCATATCTAAATGATGGCAAGAAACCGACTAAAAAGAAATGAAATTACTACTTATCAACAATGAAAGGAAAAACACACACACAAAGTAATGAATTCGCTTGAAGAATATATGTATACAATTTTCAAATAAAAAAGAAGCGTTTGCATGTTTTCGAAAGTCACGAGATGAAATGACATGCAATACATATTCCAAATGATCACTATACCGATTGCAGACATTGAAATTCAAAGTTATGCGGCAACAAACTCAGCCCATCAGTCATGATTGTTTAACTCTTCTACTTTTAGAATATTTTTAAGCCTACAATAAAGTGTTCTTCTCAAAATTTTCATAAATCGAGTTAAGTTGTTTTGTCTTTAAACCTACAGCAAATATTGTGTACATATGTTTCTTTTAGTCCCTAATCAATAAACGTAGTTGTAAGCTAAGGCTACAAAGGTGAAGGAAAGCGCAAGTGACTTCGAATTTCCGCTGATAACAAAAAAAAAAAAACAAAACCCGAACTCAAAAGAGAATAAAAAATAAGTCAAAAACATCTGTAGAGAGTTTCCCTGTAGAGAAATCATGGAGAATGTCTAATCTGAGTCTAAATATTAAAAAATGTTGTAGTAAACAAACCGACTTTGTATTTGTGTACTAATCACATTAGGTAGTGGTGGAAGCCATTAAAGTTCTCAAAGCAAATATTTTCGTTTGGGTTTAGCAAAGAGCTTCAAAAATACTAATAAACGATTAATATTAATATTTCTTCTGAGAAGCAATTTTTTTTTTTAAACACGCAATAAGCTAGAAATAATTTTTCGCAAATTTTAAGCCAATAGTTAGATATTTTTTGATTTTTTAAGATCTTTTTTAAAATTTCTAAAAGTTTTTTTTTTTAATTATTCTTAAAATTCTTATTTTAATTTTTCTAAAACTTTTTTTTGTTTAATTTTTTTAAAATTCTTTTTCTTAATTTTCTAAAAGTTTACTTCAATTTTCTCTTTTTTTTTAAATTTTTCTAAAACTTTTTTTTTTTTAATTTTTCTGAAAGTTTATTTCAATTTTCCCTTTTTTTAAATTTTTCTAAAACTTTTTTTTAATTTTTCTGAAAGTTTATTTTTTAATTTTTTTTGAAAGTTTTTGTCTTTTAAATTTTTCTAAAAGTTGTAAGCGCATACATTTATCCAGTTATATTTAGAAATTTGCCCGAGTTATTGAAAATATGTAAAATATTTTGTAAGATTTAAGTATATAATTTTTTTTTCATTAGTTTTCTTAATTTTTGTTTTAAATAATTGTATAAATAGAATAAAATTAAAAGAAAATTTAGTTGGCAACTCTGTTTAAATTAATACTGTTTATACATAAGTCTCGTCTCTTGATTTTCTTTAAATTAGCACCTAACTTTTTATATTTTTTATATTATATTTTGGTCCTTGCACACCAACCTTCACACATATATAAGTCATTCACTATTTAGAGGCTTTGTGGAAATTAGTTTTGTTGATCAACTTTAAGCTGCGATTCAGCTATTGATGCTTACCGCTCTACATCACACATCGTTGGTACCCTCTTCACTACAGCTCTGCTTGCATATTCCTTACAAAGACAGACCGTGTGATTATTCAATGAATATTATTCAATATCACAACTCGTATATTACATACATATATATTAAATATGTATATTTTTCCATACATATATGTATGTATGTAAATACATTTCTGCATATGCACATGTCTACTCTCAAAAGTTTTGCGCTTATCATTTTAGTCTTACGCTCTGCTTCGTTACTCTCTTCTACCCTCTCTTTTCTACAGACCGTGCCGCGCTACCGCTTGTATTTTGTTAATTTATATTTATTTGTTTTTATTTTCTCCTACCTTGTCTTTTACCTTACGTTCTTGCCATTCACTTGTACTTTTGCTGATTAGTATTATTATTTATCGCTTCCATTTGGCACAATTCACTATCGGCGCTCGCAGCGTAACAAGCAAAACAAGCGTAATGCAAAGTTTATAAAAAATAAAATTAAATTTAAAAAATCATAATTTTTATTTACACTTTCAATTTGAATATAGTAAAAGCAGTAGCCGTTGAGCTCCCCTCGGCGCATGATCGCCGCGATATTCAATTACTGATACGCCACGGTGGGGAGACTAACTGCAAACCGCTATGTTTGAGGTAAAAATATAAATATTTACATACATATATATATATATACAGTACATATGTATGTGTGTGTAAGGTACAACAATAACCGTCGCCACTCAGTCATCACCGCGGATCGTGTCCGGCGTTAATTTCTGCCTAAGATTACCTCACAGCACAATTGCAATTGGAACGTGCGGCGCTGTGGTGCGGCACGCAGGGGTGCATTTCACGGTTCGCGTAGTTAGAATTTACCGATTCCGACGATTGTGTATGCTTACGGTGGTGTGCCTAATTTGTTTGTTATTGTGTTTTTCCTTTGAATATTTTTTTTTTTTGCGTTGCTACAGTGTTGTGATATAAATAGCATAATGTGGAAATATTAAAAAATAATATCAGTGAATTAAAAAATAAATCTAGTGTGTGACTGGGATACAATTCATAAAACTGCGTCTCTCTACAAAATCTACTTTACTGTTGTGTGCGTAAATGTAGCAGCTGCTTACACAAGCTCTGCAACGTGTACTTACTTGCCTGGCCACCGCTGTACACAGCAGCCAGCCCACCTGACAGTCGCAAACACTTGTGTAAACACACTTGCATGCGCCCGCTGCAGTCTCGCTTTGCGTTCGTTCGCCATCGCCACCACCGTTATCAATGCGCGCTTCAGTGCTGTCAATTAAAAAAACGCCATACAAATTTGTCGTCACCGCAATGCCAAACGCTTTTAAGTGCTACAACAACAACAATATTATTCATAATAAAAATTGTTTATAGAAAGTAAACGAAAAAGCTGAGAAGAAGCGCGCAAATACAAATTCCCCGCTCCGCTCAAGCAAGTGCGCCTTTTTTTATGTAAATACAAAATACATACTTACATATGAGTTTGTATGTGAGTTTGCTTGTGCTTTTGTAAATTAATTTTAAGTGCATAATTTGTTTTCTTGCGTTGTTGTGTGTGTTTTTCTATTTTTGTTGTTGAAAATGCATACCCGCATACGTGCACCGTCTTTGCCGCAACTTTGCTCTGCGCATACACCACCCTCCACACCTTGCACGCCGCCCATCTATGGCAGCGTTGGCAACTTCGCCAACTTTGGCAACTCATGCACAGCGCTGCATTCGCCGTTCTCAGCGTCGTCGCTCTCGCTATCGCCTAAATTCCCAGCGAATTATGTCAGAAGCGAAAAGGTAAGTGATCACGAAGATAAAACAATTGTAAAAAAAACCAAAATAAACAATTTCGGCAAAAAACAAATCTAAAAGTTGCGAAAAACAAATTAGCGGTATGACAATTATTTTTATTTTTTGATTTAAAAAAATTTAATGTGAGTGACATACACAAACCAAAACCCGATGAAAGGTATAAGAAAAAGGAGCAAAATACAAATTTACAAAATAAACAAAACTGCGTACAATTCTTTAAAAGTAGATATAATAGATAAAATTGTTATCTAAAGATAAAATCTCCAGTTCTTTTTTGGGTATTCTACTAAAGCGAATATTTTTCTACGTGCTTTTCTGCCAAAAATTTTGCTTTTTACAATATATCACGAAGCTTGTAACACGCAGAAGGAAATATTGGAGACCCTATAAAATACACATATAAGCGATCAGCATGACGAGCTGAGTCGATTTAGCCATGTTTATCTGTCTGTCCGTCTGTATTTATACGAACTAGTTCTCAGTTTTTGAGATATCGAATTGAAATTTCGCACCCGTCGTTTTCTCATCAAGAAGCTGCTCATTTCGGATAACGGACCATTATAGCAGGCAGCTGCCATTCAAACTGGACGATCGAAGTCAAGTGCTTGTATGGAAAAACCTTATCTAAAGATATATCCTAACAGCAGCGCGTATTTCCTAAGACAATGATGCAATCTCCAAAAAATCGGACCACTGCAGCATGTAGCTGCCATTCAAATCTGCGATCCAAATCAAGACAAAGATCTTTTTATACGCTTTCATGCTTTAAGAAATACATCGGTGAAGGATATTACAGATTCCCCACAACCGAAGTTAACGTTTATTTATTTTTTATGATTTTTTTTCTATTAAATTTTTTGTTTTCTTATTTTCGTAATATATATCGAAATATTTTTTTTATTATTTCTTTTTTTTTTTGCTTATTTTCGTAATAAATTTTTTTTTCTTATTTTTTTGATAATGTTTTTTATCTTTAGAACATTTGCACACGTTTTATAATTATTTTAGTACTTAGTCATTTAGACAACGTAATCGTTCTCTTTAAGTATTTGAAGTTCTCGGCACTTAAAAAAGTAACACTTGTTATCATTTATTTTTACTAATTTTTTTGACAACTTGACCTTTAAATAGTGTTCATTCAGTTTATCTCAAATGTTTATCAAGCCATATTTGATTTATAAGTGATGATGGTCATTGAACGATGGTCGAGTGTAGTAAAAACGATTTGATCTAAAAAATTTGTATGTTGTGTATGACGTAATACTTTAGTCAAAGCAACTTTTGATTACGTGCTCCCTACTAGAATAAGGTAATGGTGCTCTGCTATGTCTAAGTCTATAAAGTTTATTTCGTATGTTATAAAAATTTAAGTCCTGTTTTTTTTTTAAGTTTTTGTCTTTTCAATTTGTCTAAAAGTTGTTAGCGCATACATTTAGAAGCCCGAGTGATTGAAAGTATATTAAATATTTTGTAAAATTTAAGTATATATAAGGTTGGAAGGTATCTCCCTTCCGCTTTTTTGCTCTTCATTCAATGCTTTATAAAAAGTGTTACAGTGATCGGATTTAGTTAAAATATGCGCTGTTTTGTTCGATGATCTGTTTCCATCTAGACGGCAACTTCATAATACCTTCCTCGTAGAAGCCCCCCTCCTTATTTGCGAAGAATTCGGACAGCCACTTTTGAGTTCAACTTCACACACCTTCTGCAGATGGTTCAAGATGGTTTGGTGACTAACTCCCATCTCCTGGGCGATGTCACGAGATGCCATATGCCGGTCTAACTCGATGTATTCCATGATTTGATCGGTATTTGTCGTCACAGGTCTTCCGCCGGCTGGCTTATCCATGGTGTCGTTTTCACCGGCTCTGAATCGTCGAAACCATTCCTCCGCGGTTCGAAGTGATAGAGTACCATCCCCCAAAACACCATTAATCTCACGGAACGTTTCTCTAGCGAATTTGCCTTTAACGAAGGAAAACTTTAAATTAGCGCGAATTTCGGCGTTAGTGAACTCCATGTTTACACGTCTATAACTGTTGAACGCAATATCCAAACTAATCATGCATAGCGTTGTTATGTAGGTAATGTCAAGACCTTTCAAATTATGTATAGTGTTGCCAGATACGAGCTCTGTAGCGCTTTGCACATAGCCGCGAAATTCAAAAGACAAAAAAGCGGAAGGGAGATACCTTCCAACTTTATATATATAATTTTTTTTCTTAATTGTTTTTTACTAAAAATTTTTAAAAATAATTGTGAAAACAACATAAAATTAAAAGAAAATTTAGTTGGCAACTCTGTTTAAAATAATATTGTTTATATATAAGTTTCGTCTCTTGATTTTCTTTAAATAAGCACCTGATATAAAAAGAAATTGCTTCTTACACACCAACCTTCACACATAAGTCTTTCACTATTTAGCAGCTTTGTGGGAATTAGTTTTATTGATCAACTTTAAGCTGCGATTCAGCAATTGATGCAAATATACAACAAAGTTTTCGAGTGAATTCTATACTAGAGTCGTGTTATGACAGCTTGTTCTTATATTCCTCTTGATTTGCTAGTCTAATCTTGTTAAAGCACTTGTTTTGTTCGATTCGCCATTAAGAAGCTGAGGAATTTTTATGAATTCACAAAGCTGTAACCATCATTCGAATTCAAATGCGACCGATTTTCTGATCCTCGGGTCAGCGATATCTTAAAAAATGTTTTCTGTTGTCCTTTTTCAAAACCCTTATAAAAAATAAGTATGAAATTAAACAACATAAAAAATGTTTTTGTAGAGACAGCACGCATTATCTAAATAGTTTTGGTAAAAACTGTTGAAGACGAAGTCTAATCTATTAACTTAAGACTGCATTATTATAACACAGCAATGTTTTGGAGCTTTTAAGTAAGTCAAAGCTCAATACTTTCCAACAATCGAAACTAATTTCTGATTTTTCCGTTTTATTAGTTCTACGAGAAAGCATTATGTAGATATAATATACACTCAAGATCAACCTGAACCGGATAGCTTTACATGAACTGCATTTGAAAACTATATCGATAAACATATTTTTCCAACATAGACTGGTGTAACCTTTTTTTATGTTCGTGTTAAGTTTGATCTCCATATATCAATTAGTATATGTTGTTGTGCCAGGTGTTTGTTCATTACGCCAAAAGTTTATCAGTTGATTTTTATATATTGGGTTAATGAATCCATAGCGCCCTAATCTCGAATTTTTCAGTTTCGCAAACAGAAAAAAGGCTCAGAAAGCCAAAGAGTCAGCTCGGTCAAATTTGATCTTAATGTTGAGTCTCTGCGATTTTATTTACTAGTTATTAGTATAAATATTAAGTTCTAGCAGAATATACTAACTGTTGAAATTTTTTCGAACAATGTAAGAGTGCGTAAAATTCGCTTAAGAGATTTTCTGCAGTTGTTATAAATTCCCAAAATATGGAAAATTACTTCGGAGCAAACAATTCAAACGAAGGGTGTAGTCTCAGTTAATTTTAAACTTTGGAAAAACGTATCCTTGTAGATGAGTTCCACTTTTAGTCGTCCGATTTTCTGGTGTTAACATGTTTTAAGATGTTTAAAACTTTCGAAACCCCCTACCAAAAAGTACCGTTTGAATCCTTGAATGTCAGTGACGTGTTCTTTACACCTCTCATATATTTATTTATACTGTTTTCTACAAAGTAATCGCATGATCTCATTAACGAAATTAGATGGTGTAATCGATAATTACAGTAAAGAGAATTCCGACCCACCGGTTAATCACTCATTTAGCAAAATCGCTAACTTATATTGATAAATCTGCTAGAATCGTGCGATTCGCGGCTACAGCAGAATTATTCGAAAAGTTCAAGGTGAACGCATTAGAATTAGAATTGCAGTTTCGCACGCAAATTTCATAATTTCTGCGAGGCGCGCGTTGGGAGACCGTCTACGTCTCCTCACAACACCAAGCGAAATCTCTCATTCACCAGCAATGGCTAAAGAATTAATGATGTTATTTACATAGCCGCACCATACATACGTGCATACTTCTATTGCCATTCTCGTTTGCAAGCATTTGTGTGGTTTGTTGCAAGTGGGTATGAGACTGTTGCAATTAACAACACCACCTTTCATTTTCAATTTTCTCATGGAATGCAACAACATAAGTGAGCATTTAGCATTTAACTATTTATGAATATACTATATAAACGCTCACTTATACATATTATTATATATCTATATATATGTGTGTGTGAAATGTTTGCGGCGGCCCAATGTTGCAAGGTATGCATGTCTACCGTGCATAGAAGTACAGAAATAATTTGATTGCAGCAACAATGTAAATTTCTGGGAGGGACACTGACGTTGCACATGCACCGACTCGCTGGCTGCTAGCGCTGTCTGCGTCTGCTTTTTAGAGCAGAAACAATTTTCATTTGCAAATCTTTCGAAAATATTTTTTTTTTTCCAGCGCACATTTTCGGCCTGGCTTTGCTCTTGTTGAAACAAAAAAAAAAAAACGAAGGAGGCTTTAACGTCGCTCGCTGCCTAATCGGCTTTAAGTTTTTTGCCTTTGTTATTTTTGTTCTACCCATTTATATGTATATGTATATGTATGTAATTACATATGCATATTTTTCGACTCCCCCTTCGACTTGGTATGCAGATGTTGCACGCTTCTGCCTTCGCTTGGCTGTTCGTTCTCTGCTTTCTTGCTGTAATTTTTCTTGCTGGTGCATGCAGGTTTTCCCAAATACTTGTGTTCGCAAGTGAATGTGTGTGCATATAGACGTGTATTCATATTTTTTCAAGTCGAATGGATAGAATAATTGCTTGCATGCACCGGCTGTTGCATGGGCACAGTGTGTAGTGCGTGTTAAATGTTTGGTAAAAAAATTTTTTTTTTGGTACTAAAATGTAGAACGTATTCAATTATTTATTACTTAACTTCTTAAAATTTTTTCTAAAAATTGTACTTAAAAAAAAATTT